AAGAAAGTCTGTTTTCATTTTTTAACTGTGTAATGCTATAAAGAAGCATAAAATAAACCTAGCCTACACTACAATTGGCTTCAGGGCTGATTCCACAAAACTGAGACTTCTCTGACTACATCTGTGCTTGGAAAACAATCCTGCAGCTCCTCACTCCCACAAGCCTGTGTGTGAGGTGGGGTCCCCTGCCCTGGCAGAATTGCTCCTTTCCAGTTCATTTTCTGGGGGATAGCCTGGAAGGGTTTGGGGGATGGGGTCCCTTTCTCTGCTACAGTACAATATAACCAGAGGCTTGTAAGGAAACAATAATCCTAACAGCCATAACTGGATAGCATGTACTATTTGCCATGCTCTGTTCTAAGCACTTGCTGTATCCACTCATTTTATACTCACAACATCCTTAAGGTAGGTGCTATCACTGTCTCCATTTTTCCTAGGAGGAGGCAGAGGCAAAGGGAGACAAACCTTAGCCACTCAGCCACTGAGTGGACTAAACAAGAGCCAAACATCTGAGCCTGTTTACAACCTGGCTGCTCGCTTAATCTCACACTTAATTTTCTTTGAAATCTGCATTGATAATCATTTGCTTTCATTCTGTTAAATTTTAAAGTTTAACGCAACCATACAGCATTAAAACATCTCGCTTTTCATCATCACGTTTTGAGAATCTTTCTCAGCAGATTCAGAATGCTATTTCTAATTTGATGGGCTCTCGGAACAGCTGATATTTATTGGGAGAGGTGAAAGCGAGTCTGAAAACCACTGGGTGTCTCAGCTGGAGCACGATGTTTATAAGACAAAGACTGTGGTCAATTGCTTCAGGGCACCATATGGTTCAGACCGCTACCAAGATGCCACAAAGGGTTTCATGTGCCAAGAGCAAGTGGCTGATTGCACATCTTGAAGACAAACAGCTTGACATCCAGATGCCCACATCTTCTTCATATGAAGCAGTTTAGATAATGTGCAGTCACGCACCCCACCCTGAGAAATGCTAGCTAGGGAACCTGTAGAAAGATGTTCTCTGTACTTTATGGTTTAATGCAACAACCAAAAAATACAATATTAGTGGGATTATTTTCCCAGTGTGTTCAGTTTTTTGTATACTCAGAAAACGATCATGTACCTGACTCTAATTTTTTTGGTTTCCATTGGCAATGTTTAATTAATCAATAGGTGTACCCTTAAATTAATAGATAAGTCTGAAATATATAGATTCTAGTTATATCAGTACATAGTGTCGTAACAGTATAGTCATCTTAGAGATAACCAATAGTACTTTGAGCTATAAGATCAAATACTGAAAATCAGCATTCTGTAACTAATTACCAATGAAATCCTATTTCTATGAACGTTTCCACCCGATTCTACCCTCCCAATGAGCGAGAAATAACTTGGTAAAGACAAAAAGGAAAGGATTATCCTTGGCATTATTTTGTGAAGTCTCAATTTCCTTTTCCTGGGAGAAAAACTTCAGTACCTAGGACTGCAGCTTTTATCGTTGCCGTCTCTGTCTTCCTCTGAGTGGATTTACTTTGGAAGTTTTGGGGATTATTTTTAAAGATTTATTTATTTTTATCAGAAAGTCAGATTTATAGAGACAAGAAAAGATAGGGAGAAAGGTCTTCTATTTACTGGTTCACTCTCCAAGTGGCTACAACGGCTAGAGCTGAGACAAACCAAAATCAGGAGCCAGGAGCCTCCTCTGGATATTCCATGTGGGCGCAGGGTCCCAAGGCTTTGGGCCATCTTCTACTGCTTTCCCAGGCCACAGGCAGGGAGCTGGATGGGAAATGGAGCAGCCGGGACACGAACCAGCACCCACTTGGGATGCTAGTGCTGCAAGCAGCCATAGCATGTTCCAGCAGACATTTTTTTTAAAAAAACTTCATCTCCTTTAAAAGAACTTACAGAAGAAGAAGAGAGCAAATGTGTGCTTCTTCCTGATTCCCAATTATGGAGAAATGCACAGAGGACATGGCACTGTACAGGTGCCATCTCTTCTTCTCCACCGTGGCCACAAGCTCCTGTCAACAGCCTCTCATTCTAGATCCAGCTGCAAACTTCACAGTCCCCCGACCAAATAGTTCATGCATGGCCATGTGAGTTCCATTTTCACACTGCTCTGAAGTAAAAGACAAATTAGGGCTTTTGAGAAGCAACAAAACTCATAACTGAGACAGTAAGTAATGCTGTTTATGTATTGAACACATGTGTACACAGATTCAAAAGATTGCAGTAAGAGGTGAGTTTATGGCTTGCCCTACTGATTTTAGAGAGCACATGTTCTTTATGTAGGCAGGGTACAGAAATTAACAGCATTTTATATTCAGATAGTGACTTTTTAAAAAATAGAACACATTTTTAAAAACTGAGATTTAAGCATGTATGGAATGGGATCTGGCACTCTGGTATAGTGGGCTAACCTTCCCTTCGTGGCACCAGCTTCCCATACAGGTGCCAGTTCTTGTCCCAGCTGTTCCACTTCTGATTCAGGTCCATGCTTATGGCTTGGGAAGGGAGCAGAGGATGACTCAGGTCTGCGGGCACCTTCAGCCACAAGGGAAACCTAGAGAAGCTCCTGGCTCTTGACTTAAGCTTGGCCCACCATGGCCACTGAGGTTATTTGGTCACCCAGTGTACGGAAGATTTTTCTCTCTCCTCTCTCTATTAACTTTACTCTTCAAATACAAACAAAATAAATTCAAAAAATAAAGTGGCCTTTAAAAATATATATATGAATGCAACTGGTATGTCAGCCAGTTGTGTCACCACAGAGACCTTGTTTAATCTTAGTTTTTGTATGTTCATTTTGGATTCTTGTTTTGATCCTTTAGCAGTCTGTGCTTATTGACCACGAAAATTAGGGTGAAGCTTATTATTTCTTATATCATCAATGTCTATTGTTTCTTGTTGTTATCTCTGAACTTTCTAAACATTTACAGTTACTTCATTTCAACGAGGGGCAATTTTGTGGATTCTGGACACTTAAGTAAAACCTTTTCAATGCTAAAGTAAATGCAAGTGGTCCTCTCTCACTTCAAAGTTGATAGAAATAGTACCTCTTAATGAACACCACTCAACTAATACTTAGGAGCATCTTGGACAGTGTGGGGACTTCAGGAGATTTTTAAACAGACTATTTTAGTCATCATAAAAAGATAATTTCTGAGGGACAAATTGACTGTAACTCTAGGAAAAAGGAAACCAAAAGCCCTTAGATAGACTCAGCAAAGTGGTTAAGTAGGCTCTTTCTCTTCATCCTCTGACAGTACTTTCCACCTGCATCTTTCCCAATTCCTCCTTTCTCATCCCCACCCTCAACAAACAATTCTGTGTTTTATTCTCTCTGGATCATGATCTCCTCATCTTCTTCGTGGTTAAGAAGAGCATTGAAACTACCTAGATAAACTACACTGGTACAAAATAGTGATTATTGCATAAACCATCCTATGTTGGTTATTGATTGCCTTCATCCAGCTTAAATTTGTTGCCAGTTGATCAAATCTATCCCTCCAAAATGAGTTGGAGGCAGACTCTTAGAAGCTCAGCAGTCTATTCACCTGCTGGCACCGATCGGTGGATTGTCCCATTCCATCATATGTGGAAAAAAAGGGGAGCAGCCCCAGCCAGCTGTGTTGACTGGTTCTTAAGCAACGATAATTCAATCAACTAAGCATACAGCAGTGCACAATACAAATCATCCAATCAACTGTAGTGGCGTGGAACGCAGATAACCAATTTAAGCATCGTGCAATTTAAACTATCCAATCAGTAAAAGCCGCACCTTGCCTAGTAGTGAACAACAAAACCAAGCAAATAGATCCTTCCAATTCCATGTACAGAAACCAATTTTGAGACAATCAGCTCACTGGCTTAGCTGTAAGAGAAAAGCAAGATCTCATCCTGGAATGAGATACTGTCTTGTGATAAACACTCTCACTCCCCTTTTGGGTCTTTCCAGAATCCAAGGTTATGGCAAAAGCCAGGTTATGGACACATCCCAGAAGGGTTTCAGAAGACCTAGCCTTACTGTCACCATTTTCCACTGTATAGGTTGTCACAATTTTATGTTTCTTCAATGAATAGTTAGTAAACAATGAAAATGTGGAAAAAACGGAATATATTAATTAAACATCTTTCACTTACAAGTTGCCGTGCAATGCATTTTACACACTTACTGTCTGATTAAATCTTAGGATAAGTCCATGATCTGAATAGATTACTTGGCCTGTGTTCTTCTGTATTCTAGGTCAGACCAGGGCTTAATGGGGAAGTAGTCTCTAAATCTCTCTGATCTGGCCCTTTAGACAGTAGACCATCAGAGAATCAGACGAAAGTTTGTGGATTGATGCTTTAATTTATCAGTAGGAAGTTAAGCAACCTGAGGGTAAGTATCTCGGGAAAACCTGAAAAGCATCTCAGCAGCTCGTGAACATGTACAGCACTATACCACAATGATTAAGAGACTGAGTCTTCGGTTAGATTGCATGTTTGAAATCCAAATTTCCCCCTGTATTAGGTATTGCTCTCAATCAACTTACTTAACCTCTGATCCAGTTTTCCCAAAGTAGAGAATGACAGTTTCTACTTCACAGGATTATTGTGATAAACGGTTGAAGGATCAAGTGTAATTAGCCTGGTTCCTGGGATGTACAAGTATCAGGTGTTGTTTTAGTTTATTCTCTATAGTCCTCTAGTTTTCCAAGTTGTAAAAAGTGATGCATTCGTTGGCATTTTAAGAAAACCTGTGACAATCCCCAGAACCGTGCCTCTCTTCCATGACACCACAGATGTGGATGAGAGTATGGTGGAGAGCAGAGTAACAGGAAAAAAATATATATATATATATATAAAATTGACAAATTTGATACAAACCTGAATTGAGTATTATCTCTGCAGAAAGTGGCAAGTGCAGGGACAGCTGAATTAGCCAGATATGATACCAAAGGAAAAAAAAAGACCATTTCCTTCTCCTTTTTGTTTTTAAGCCTATTTGCAAAGTCACAGACGTCTTCACCTCAGTTGGCTGCAAAGATGCCTACATGCATAGAAGGAACCACCTTGCTGTGGATAGTTGCTCTGTTCCTCTGTAAGTAAGGGCTGGGTTACTCTTCCTCAGGGACCCAAAATATATCTGGAGGAGCCACTGGGGTAGGAATTTGGACCATTTCGGTGGTGATTTTTTCTAGGTCACGTGGAATTTCTAGGCATCTTAGAGGGAGGCAAGTTGGAAGGCAGAAGAGACTGAGCTGAGCAATATTTAAAGGGAATCCAAACTGAAAGGCTGAGTCCTTGCAATTTCTCTGCCAGGTCTTAAAAAATGAGAATTCTACTAGGGATTAGGCAAGACTTCTGAGAGATGTAGCCTTAAAACTCCTTAGATGTAGACTTCATCTTCATATCCAGTAGAATGGGTAACCATGCTAACTTCCATTTTCTGGACTTTTGCAGCTCCAGATGGCATGCTAGCAGGTGAGTCCTGTCTTTTTGTTAGCATTTCAATGTGTCTAGATACCACTCTCCCCTTACCGTTTGCCTTCTTCTTGGTACTTTTGTTTAGTTTTCTTTTCTCATGGACTTGAAATTTCTTAGCATGTCTTTGTTTATTTGTTGTTTTCTTGTTTATTTGAAAAGGAGAGGAAAGCAAGAGAGAGGAGAGAAAGATATATTCCATCTGTTTGTTGAACCCCCCAGACGGCTGCAACAACCAAGGCTGGGCAAAGCTGAAGCCAGGAGCCAGGAACTCCCTCTGGGTTTCCCATGACAGTGGCCGAGATCCAAGAACTTGGGTCATCATCTGCTGATTTCTCAGACTCATTATCAGGGAGCTGGTTTGGAAGTGGAACAGCCTGGACTCCAACTGGCACTTTGATTATGGATGCTGGCACAAGCAGCAACCTAATGCACCATGCTGGCACCAAGTCAATTTTGTTTTCTAATGAGTAGGAAGGCATCCCTCCAGGGTCAGCCTACTTTCCGTCTCCACCTTATTTTCGTTTCTTTCTCTTTTCTTCAAAAGCTACTAATATGCCATTTCTTTCTCTCAACGCCTCCGTTTGAATGAGCAACCATTTCATTAACTATCTTGACATCCCAGTCTCTCTCTAGCCAACTTCACAAATTCTCATTAAATCCTCACATTATTATAGTCGTTGTTGTTGTGTAACCTAGGGTGATCAAGTGATTTATTAGAAGCTACACCACTAGCATATGATTGGATTTCAAGTCCCCTTGGGTCCAGGTAAAGTTTCTTTTAACTCCAACAATCTTTCATGATCGCTTTTGCCAGTTCTTTACTTGCTCCTATTCAATTGTGGGCATATTCCTTTATTCTAGGCAGCCATTTAAGACTGATTTTCTCAGTATTTCTCAGTGTTGATACAGCACAACCTCCATAACTACATGGAGGATGTTGTTATGGAAAAGCTGGTTCCACTTGCCCAGTAAGCAGAAAGCCAATCACGGATACTAGGAGAAAGGCAACATTTATTGCAAAGTGCAGAAGAAGGAACTCTGCAACTAACACCGCATTTCTAGGTTCCTTGAGGGGTTAGGTTAGGAACTGCTTATAGACTGAGGTTGGGGCTTGGAGGTGCATATTCCACAAGTTCCTGTTTAGTATTCTGTTACTCTCTACTCTCCTTTAAGTGTTACTGATATTATGTGCTTTAGGGAACCCTGATGATGTGAAAGTGGGCTTCTGCTAGCTTGGGGGCTACATGCAGGTGGTAGCTATTTTTTTTGCTGAACCCAGTTTCTGGTAGACAAGTTCCCCGAGACAAGACCTAGAATCATGATATTATCAGTTCGAGAAACAAATAACCTCATGAGTCCAGTAATTGGATTTACATAGGGCTGGCTACTGCGTTCCTCATTCTATTGAAATAATTTTTAAGTGGCTAATGTTTTTAAAGATTTTTTTTTGTTTTTATTGGAAAGTCAGATATACAGAGAGGAGGAGAGACAGAGAGGAAGCTCTTCCGTCCAATGGTTCACTCCACAAGTGACCACCACGGCTGGAGCTGAGCCAATCTGAAGCTTGGAGCCAGGAGCTCTTCTGGGTCTCCCACGCGGGTGCAGGGTTCCGAGGCTTTGGGCCGTCCTCAACTGCTATCCCAGGCCACAGGCAGGGAGCTGGAACTGAAGTGGGGCCATCAGGATTAGAACCAGCACCCATAAGGGATCCTGGTGCATGCAAGGCAAGGACTTTAACCACTATGCCATTGTGCCTGGCCCTAAGTGGCTAATTTTAATTTTCCACCACAAAAGCATGAGAAGGAAACTTCAAGCAAAGTGGAGGGAGGTGAGGAAAACACGAAAGGCTACAGTCAGCTTCCTAGGACTAACAACTAATTAAGACACTGCATGGGCTCATTTACACTACTTGTGGATATATTTTTTTTAAGATTTAGTTTATTTTTCTTGGAAAGTCAGATATACAGAGAGGAAGAGAGACAGAGAGGATCTTCCGTTCGTTGGTTCACTCCCCAAGTGGCTGCAATGGCCAGAGCTGAGCTGATCTGAAGCTAGGATCCAGGAACTTCTTCCAGGTCTTCCACGCGGGTGCAGGGTCCCAAGGCTTTGGGCCGTCCTTGACTGCTTTCCCAGGCCACAAGCAGGAAGCTGGATGGGAAATTGGGGAGCTGGGACATGAACCAGTGCCCACACGGGATTCAAGGCGAGGAGTTTAGCCACTAAGCTACCACACCAAGCCCCACTGATAGAACTGACATATGTTTTGCACTCCACGGATGCTCACAGTTTAATCACAAAAGCATGCACTTTGAAAAGACTTCATGCTTTACCCAGTCAAATGCTTTATTTTATCAGTTAGTTACTCTTTCATTCTCTCACAAAATATTTAGTGAACACTTACTATAAATCCTTTCCCTAAGAATCACAACAGGGTCCTTCCATTGGTAGTGCAAGGGTAGAGCGACCATTGATTGTCTAAGAATTGGTAGACTTGTATTTTGGAGCCTGAATAATGTTCAATAATTTTTCTTTTTTTTTCATAATTTTGCCTTCATAAAGTTCTTCTGAAGTCTGTGGTGTCCTTGAATCCACCATGGAATCGAATATTTAAAGGAGAGGCTGTTACTCTGATATGTAATGGGGATAAGACCCTTGAAGACAATTCCTTTGTGTGGTTTTACAATGGCACCACTTTAGCACAGAAAACTTCATATTTGGACATCGCGAATGCCACCACCCAGGACCAAGGAGAATACCAGTGCCAAAGCCGTGGTTTAAATAAGAGTGATCCTGTGTACCTGGAAGTCTTCAGTGGTAAGTTCCAGGGAATGGCCCATCTGAAGATGGAGCAGGTTATTCCATAGTTTAGTGCACTGGGGTGGGTTCCAGAGACTCTCATTCAAGTCCCCAAATCTCTTTTGTCCCACCCCACTCCTTCTACCTTTAAAATATTCTTCTCATTTCTCAATATTGTTCTTCTGTCCTGTTTTCTTCTATCTTTTCCGCCTAGACATAGATGTATATTATGAGGTCAAATAACATAATGGATAAATATGTAAACATTGCAAAGAATTATGTATCTAAAATGTAATCAAAAGATTTAATGTAAAGATTTTTCTCTCTCAAATCCATGTGCAACATCCTGAATACTAGGTTATGCTCTTCATTTTGAATTATATCTTGGCACATTCCTCATAACTTCTGATGTTAGTTAACAACAATTCTTACATTTTGTTTTCCATCTCCCTACTGCCAACACTTAGGTATATGTGGATTAGTCTATTGAAATGGAATGAACAAACTCATCATCTTATTTGGATGGGTAGGGTACTGTTGCACTTTTTATTTTTCTCTTGATTGAGAAGAAATGTTTCAGCATCCATTTACCAATTCCAAATTGCAGCCAAACCAATTTAGAATATTTTTTTTCCTTAAATTCTATAGAAATCCCCAAAGATTGCTCCTAGATAAAATACATTTGCACAAACCAGTCTTATTTGCCTTCAAAATTCTCTGTTACAACTTTAATCATAGAACCTGATTTTTTATATTATTGATTCATTATTGCCAAGTATTTGTTGAATGCTCCCCAACTCCTAGATACTGTTAAACCTTGGAAATATAATGTAGAACCAATGTGGAAGAGAACATTAAATGAAAAATCACACAAATGATTTGAGATATGCATTTTGAGGAAGTTTTAAAGTCAGCCATGACTAATAATAGAGCTTCCTAGTTCCCAAGAAGGTAAGAGGGACCTAAATGGAAGTTTACTTAAAGCAGAAACTTCCTAGAGTGTGTTCATTCCCCATTAGCGTGTACACCTAGCAGTAACAGCTCTGAAGAGAATTCTTTAGTTGAGGCTTTCCTTGGACGAGCTCAGCAGCAAGGTTCAGACTTAATGACTCCAGGCTGACTTTTCATGAAGAGAACAAAATAATGAATATAGAAGAAAGTTCTTAAGCATTAATTTGGGTTTCCTTTTTATTAACTGTGTGAGTCAAGAAATGGATTAATGATTATCCGTGTGTTAAGATACACATCATATGAATGACCCCATTTTTCTTTATGTATTCTCCTCTATGTATTTCCATTTGTTATTAAAAAAATAATGTATTTTATGTTCTTCAGATTGGCTGCTCCTTCAGGTCTCTCCTAATGTGGTGACAGAGGGTAAGCCCCTGTTCATCAGATGCCATGTTTGGAGGAACTGGGATGCACGCAAGGTAGTCTTCTATAAGAATGGAATAGGTCTCAAGTACTGGTATGAGAATCACAACATCTCCATCACAGAAGCCACACCTGAAGATGCTGGCACTTATTACTGTAAAGGTACCCTTAAACCACATATATTTGAGTCTGAACGCATCAACATCACTGTAATACAAGGTGAGTTGGTAAAGGAAAAGACATGGCCCACAGCAGAGGAAGGATGGGGCAGTAGCTGAGCCGGAAGCCGTTGTAGCCTTGTAGAATGTAAGCAGCTGTGACGCTTGGGAAGGCTATTCGACTTGTAAAGAGGAGGCTGAGGTTGTAGTACATATCCCAGTCTGTGCCTTAGGTTCCTTTCTGGATAAATAGTGATAGTAATACCTACACACATTATGGGATTTGTATGAAGATTAATGTAGCAATATTTCTGAAACGGCTTTGAGCATGGTTAGACACTACCCAAGCATAACAGATTGCGATTACTCTTCTGATCTCAAAGTTATCTGTAGCCCCTGAGAACACTTTTATTAATCAAATTGAAGGGGAGATTCAATGCTGAAGGAACAAACTACATAAAAGATGGAAAGTAGGAAAGAAGCCAACACGTCAGTAAACTGTGTGCCTATGCATTGGAGTGATGAGGGATGTGGGAGCTTAATAAGAGGACAGGTGCATAGGTTGCCTCTATGGCCTATAGGAAAAATTGATATTTCTGTAGTTTCTACAAAAGATGGAGACTTTGAAATATTTGCTTATTTGCCTTGCAAAAAGAAAATTGGAATTTTTCTTCTCTTGGAACATTTTGTTCATACTAAAATGTAACAAAGCATGATCAAAAAGTGAGACTTCAACTCTAAAGGGAGTTCTGTGCTAATTAGGGAACAAAGTATTATTTATTATCTCTGGTATTCCAGTATCTTCATGTATAAAATAGACTGATTTGGACTGCATTAGATTCACTGGCAGAAACTAAAAGTGTGTTAATGACCATGTTTCTCTCCTAAAATTCTGATCTTGTTGGTTTGGAGCAAGATATTGGCATTAGTCATAATGAAAAAGTATAACCAATGTTTGGGACTGATGATCTATGGAACTGCTGAGTAATTTCTGTCTGTAATGTTTTGGGGCTCCAAATTCTAAAATAATCACAAAGCTCAGCACTATATAACCAGAATAATGGTAGCAATTTAACTGATCTAACATACTCACTTCATTCAATGGTCACAGAGGACACTGTGATTTATTGATTGGTAAGGCATTGGTGACGACCCTGGCCTCACTTTCTTCTCTTCACCTCTGAATCATGTGGGTATGCTGGTGCTGTCAACTCCAAAACAGGGATCATCTTTCCATGACCTTTCATTTTGGGTATACTGGCTTTGGGAACTGTTAGGATGTGGTTGCAGGAAAATAATCAAGACTTACTTAAAACTCGGAGTACAGGTTAAAGATCCCAGTGTCCTGGATATCATGTCACACCATGCTTGACACTTCCTCAAGTGGGGGTGAAGCGCTGCACCTCACTGATTGACTCCTAATGCTAATCATGTATTTTTGTTTCTATGCAGCCCACAAAAGCAAGCCCTGGATGCCACTTTTTATCCCATTGCTGGTGATGACTCTGTTTGCTATGGACACAGGGCTATTCATTTCTACTTGGAAGCAGCTCAGATTCATCTTGAAGGTTAAGAAGACCAAGAGGGGCACTAGACTCTGAGACTACGTTATAAACCATACCCATGGATAAAGCTGAATTTTTGCCCCTAGCATCAACAATTGCTTCAGAAATGTCAAATAGGCTTGATATCATTCACAGAAAAGTCTGTTCAAGAATTTACAGAACTGCTTCATTGAACTCTCTATAGCTGGTTAAGTGGCATGTAACAGTAAGTGCTCAATAAACTTGACTGGAGACATGAAATGAGTACTCTCATCTGTTAGCTTTTAGGAAAGAGAATCACAATTTGAGTGAAATCAGTTTTAAACCATGTAACATGAAGCTTTTTGATTTTTAAATCTTAATCATGCCTTGTTTTCTTCTAACAAGATCCAGATTATAAATTTCCTTTATTAATCATTTTAATTAAGTCCTAGGAGTGAGAAAGCGTAGTATGTTGGGGAGCATGATCATTTTATGCTCTCTCCTCTCTTTGCACTCTACATATTTCTGATTCCTGGTGGAATCTGGAACTGCCTTGAGTCATAGGATTCTGAGGATGAATCCAGTCTAGGATCCCTTAGAGTTTATTTACTCCTTTGGTATTTCCCAAACCTGAATATTTAAATTGTATCTTTTGATCTTCATATGGTACCTAAATTAAATCTCTGAGAGAAATCCAAGAGAATAATAAAAATCAGAACTCTCTTATCTGAAAACAGTACACATCTGAATATAATCTCATCCAAAGGAAACAGCCAGTGTGAGTTCATTTATTTTCTCTTTCATGTTTTTGCAATGGTCACTGTCTCTCTGAGGAACTGAAAGGTCTTAAGTTTCTTGCTTTTTTTCTAAAGCTATTCATTAGAAACAGAGTAAGGCATGCAGGAGAAGACAGAGCTCCAAAGGTGCACTCCACTACTTTCTGGCTTTGTGATTTGGGAAAATGTTCTTACATGTACAGGAGCCTCAATATTTAGCTTAAAATAAATATGGTGACACCGCCTGTCTATCTATTAGTAGAAAATCAGATAGGAAGCCATACATGCAAGTTTTTTTTTTTTTTTTTGTAAATTGCAAAGCTTTATAGAAATGTAGGATCTTTCAGCACCAACATGGAACCTGGTCTTTGCCGCCATTAATCTGTGGACTCAGGTGTATTAGCGCCTCACGGAAAAAGAAAGACAATTATACAATATCTCTCGATGAAGGGAGATACTGTATAATTCATTATGAGACTTCAATTCCTTGATGATCAGCCAAGCACAAAGATTCAGAATACATTCCCCAAAAAGCCATGGTGTGAATTTCCCCTTCACTTCCCACGTGCTGGTCTCTCCCTTCAAAACTCTATTTCTGAAAATTTGTTTCATTAAAAAATTGTTAGAATGAAGTAATTGTACATTCTATGTGTTCTCTTTACCTAAATTCCAGCTTTGTTTCAAACCTGTGTCTCCCATTTCGATGCTCCAAGTGTTCTCGATAGTCACTTCATTTCCTTTTCCAGAAGGAGTATGGGTTACAGTTAGTTAGTTAATTATTTTATGATGCGGTTTCATAGGCAGGGTTTTTTTCTTCCTCCTTCCCTAATTCTTTTCCCTTTTACTGATTTCTCCTATATTATAACAATCATATAGGACTGATATATTTTGTGGGTCCCTAAAATATGGCATTTGTAAACTTGTAATTTTTCTTTTTTTTTTAAAGATTTATTTATTTATTGGAAAGTCAGATATACAGAGAGGAGGAGAGACAGAGAGAAAGATCTTACATCCGATGATTCACTCCCCAAGTAAGCGCAATGGCTGATGCTATGCTGATCCGAAGCCAGGATCCAGGAACTTCTTCCGGGTATCCCACATGGGTGCAGGGTCCCAAGGCTTTCGGCTGTCCTCTACTGCTTTCCCAGGCCACAAGCAGGGAGCTGGATGGTAAGTAAAGCTGCCAGGATTAGAACCAGTGCCCATATGGGATCCTGGTGCATTCAAGACGAGGACTTTAGCTGCTAAGTTACGCCGCCGGGCCCAACTTGTAATTTTTCTTATTAGAAAGTCAATTATACAGAGAAGAGGAAAGACAGAGAGGATGATCTTCCATTCATTGATTCACTCCCCAAGTGTCTACAATGGCTGGTGCTGAGCTGGTCTGAAGCTAGGAGCTCTGAGCCTCTTCTTGGTTTCTCACATGAGTGCAGGGGCCCAAGGCTTTCGGACAACCTCGACTGCTTGGGACAACCTCGACTGCTTTCCCAGGTCACAAGCAGGGAGCTGGAAGGGAAGCAGGGCTGCTGGGATTAGAACCAGCACCCGTATTTGATCCTGGCATGTGTAAGGTGAGGACTTTTACTACTAGGCTGCCACCTGGGTCCAAAGGAGTATTTTTATTTTAGTTCGCATGAAATATTTTATATCCATGACATAGAAATGTGCCTGTAATACAGATGAAAGGGATTGAATAATTCACCCAGATTCACCATTTGGGGCCTCTTCAGTCACTTCCAACCTATTACCAAAGTGGTCTAAGCAGGTCCACAGAATCCCCATCCATTGTTTCAGTCTTTAAATGGCCACTCTGTCTGGAGCTGGCCCTGTCTGAAGCTGGGAGCAAGGAGATTCCTCTATGTCTCCCAGAAGGTGCAGAGGCTGAAGGACACGGGCCATCCTCAACTGCTCTTCTAAGCTGTCATTAGGGAGCTGGATCATAAGTAAAGCAGCCAGAACTTGAACAGGTGGAGGGTTGGTATGCTGCACCACCATGCTGCTCCATGATGTGCTGTTTTAACTCAAGTTTCAATTTGGGAATAGTCAAGAAGACACTTCCAAAGATTAACCCTTGCAGGATTAGGAACTTATGGAAAAAATTTTAAGTCATGGTTCAGAGTTCTGTTTGTTAATATTTTCATAAATTGTAATTAAAGTACTTGTGTTGATAATACTATTTTAAAGAGTTTAGAGCTGCTTGTAATACAAACTTTTCCTTGGCACCTTCAAACTCCCCACCCTGCTTTTAGTTCTGTCCTGAAATTGTGCAAAGTGTTGATGCTTTTGTTACACTCTTCTTTTTCTCAGGAGATTCCACATCTGGCCATTTCGGAAATTCAGCCAACCCATGTTTGCATTTTCTGTAGCCTATGCTTGTTTACATTCATCCACTTGCACTCCTCATTCCGAGGCAAGGTAGGGCCATGCTGCCCATTTGAATGGTATGCCTTTAGGCTTTTGAACATTTCCCAGGTTGTGATGTGTTATCTATAAGTAGCACAAATATATTAGAAGAATGCTTTCAATGCCCTCGGAATCGTATATGCACATATGTCTCCACATGTACGTGTAAAAAGGCAGCACAAGACCTGGCAGCTCAAGTCCTCACCTTGCATGTCCCGTAATCCCATATGGGCACTGGTGCTAAACCTAGTGACCCCATTTCCCATCCAGCTCCCTGCTTGTGGCCTGGGAAAGCAGTCGAGGATGGCCCAAAGCCTTGGAATCCTGCACCTGTGTGGGAGACCTGGAAGAAGCTCTTGGTTTCTGGTTTCATATGCTCTCAGCTCTGGCCATTGTGGCTGCTTGGGAAGTGAATCAATGAACGGAAGATCTTCCTCTCTGTCTTTCCTCCCTGTATATCTGTCTTTCTAATAAAAATAAAATTAAATTAAAAAAAAAAGCAGCACAAATTTCTCTCCCATGCTTGTCAGCAACAAAATAGTCTTTCCAAAAACACTTTTCCATTCTGCTAGACTCAGTGTCTCAGTGGAATTTCATATATTCAGCTATGTATTAATGGTGAGGTAGCATTACAAGAAAACAACATTAGGTAATCTCACTGTCGTGCAAGCATTACCGTGTACTTCCACAAAAAAATAGATGATGTATTCTATACCTATCAAGTCTATGAGTATATAGGGTTGGATATGTGGCAGTTCATGGACTAAAATGTCCTTATGTGACCTGTGTGTGTAACCTAAAATATTCTCAGGTGGTGTGAATGCATGTAACAGTTATTAGTGATGCAGATATGGGCATCTCCACACTATATACTTAAGTGTAGTATCAGGTAATTTTCTGATTGCTCTGGGTCGGGGACTAGAGGCCCATGACTGGCTCAAAAGGAAGCCTGTAGTTTTAGAACAAGACTCAATCTAGTGTAGTCTTCGCGATCCATTTTATATAATGGCTATAGATAAGACAGAAAATGTGTCTTTAAAAGTATTGCTTGGATCAAAATTTGTTCAGACCAATCTAAACTCATTTTTAAATTTTATTTGCATGCACTATTTCAAATTGGCATATATTTAAAAACACCAAAGGCCTTTACAATCTATGCTGTGAAGGGAAGTTTTTGCCCCACGGCTCTGCAGAGAGCATCTTTGACCTCTTTGTTCCTCAAGCTGTACACAAGAGGGTTCAGCAAGGGAGTGATGACAGTGTAGGTCACAGAGATGAGTCTGTCCTGTCCCAGGAGACTCTGGGACTTAGGTTTCATGTAAATGATAGAGGTGCAACCATAATGAATGATGACCACGGTGAGGTGAGAGGCACAGGTGGCAAAGGCCTTCTTCCGACCCTCAGCTGAAGCAATTTTGAGAATGGTGGAGATGATGATGACATAGGAAATGAAGACCACAACCATTGGCAGTATAAGCACACAGACACTGACCACGAAGTTGATGACCTCATTCACAGCAGTATCTGTGCAAGCCAGCTTCAGCAAGGGTCTTACATCACAGAAGAAGTGGGGGATGACAAAGGCATCACAGAAGGGCAGAGAAAATACAGATGTTACCTGGACAATGGCCATGCCCAGGCCAATTCCCAGTGAACCACATGCCAACTGGACACAGGTCCTCTTATCCACGATGACTGAATAACGTAAGGGATTGCAGATGGCTACATAGCGGTCATACCCCATGACCATGAGCAGGAAGCAGTTGTTGATGCCAAAGGTGAGATAGAAGAACAGCTGAGTGACACATTCTTGAAAGGTAATTGTATGATGTGGACTGAGAAGGTCAGAAAGCATCCGTGGAACAATGGTCACTGTATAACAGGTGTCGGAGATGGACAATACACACAGGAAGAAGTACATGGGGGTATGGAGGTGACGGTCCAGGCGAATAATGGTCACAATGATCACATTGCCAGAGAGAGTCAGCAGGTACAGACTCAGAAAGACAACAAAGAAGATAAGCCTGTGTTGCCACCCAAAGCTGGAAAATCCTTCGAAGAGGAAGTCGGTTACCAGGCTGGTGTTTAGTCTGTGTTTGAAAAAGCTGGGTAAAGAAAAGATAGATGTGACGAGTCAATCATGAAATAGAGTAGTGTGACCAACCTGAGAATATCTCAGACCTACGTGGTCCCCAATGTTGCACTACTACTGGACAGTTGTTCAGGTTCGTCATCTTTCCCCACTCCCTTCCTCAATAGTATAGGAAGTGTTATCCTAGGATCTTGACATTAAGAGCAGGAACAATGATGACAGGACCAGAAGAGATCAAACAAGCAGAAACAAATTCTTAATTTCATTTTTTGATCTTTTACCCACATGTGAAATTGCCTGATCCTATGGCAATTCTATTTTTTAAGTATTGACAAATTCCCATGATATTTTCTATGGGGGTCATAGTACTTCAGATTCCCACCAAAGTTTCTGAGTGTTTAGTTTCCTCTACCAGCCTGGCCAACACTTGTCCTCTTTTTAAAATAGGATGTGTTCCTTGTTTCAGCCACCCTAACCTGTGAGATGACTTTGCTTAAAAACTCCTTGATGACTACATTCTTGTGTTCACTGCAGCACTACTCACAATAGTTAAATTATAGAAACCCAGATGTCTAATGACAATGAATGGATAAATGAAACAGAGTATTCACATAGAATGGAGTAGTATTCATCCCTAACAAAGAAGTGACACTGCCATCTCTGTGACGTGGATGAATCGGTAAGACATTCTGCTAACTGAAATAAACCAGTCACAGAAGGGTAATATCATATAATTCTACAAGCATGAGGTAACTAAAAGAGTCAAACTCACAGAAACAGAGAATGGAACGCCTGTTGCCAGTAGATCAGGACAGAGGGAGAAACGGCAAATAGTTCAATTGCAATAAAGCTGCATTGCTACGTAATGAATTAGTTCTGAAGATTTGCTGTATTGCAAATATCCATTGTCCAAAATTCTGCATTATCTGCTTAAACATTTATTAAGAGAGCTGGGCTTATGTTAATGGTCTTCCACAAAACAAAGCAAATCTCTAAAACATGAAAACACAAAAAGAATTTGAAAATAATAGATTTGTTTGTTTTGTTGATGGTGGAGTACATATCACGGACATATACATACGCCCAAATACTAAACTGTGCACATTAAACATCTGAGGCTTATTGTTTATCAGTTATACTTTAATAAGGTTGTTTAAGGAATGGAATGATTACATGGCCATTGAAGAGTCATATAATGCATCAGATGTGTCCAGCTGCACAATTCCTCCTCAGCACACTCTCACATTGGGGCTCCAAGATCCAGTGAGGAACAGTGACCTAATAACATAAGAGATGTCGAGACTGGCGTTTGTTCAACATACTCCTCAGCATTCAATACAAAAAGACCTGTAAGAGACTCTAGAATGATTTCTCGCTGTGCAAAACCCGGAGGCCTATAGCTAACATTCTCTGTGATTGTGAAACTGACACGAAGGAAGCACTTCTTTTGGGCACATTTTCTGGAGATGCTGCAAAAATGTTCTCTAAGATCATGAAACATGAATTGTCAGGGCACTGCAAGTATTTAGCTTATCTGCTTGAATTGTAGCCAAAGAAGAAAAGAATAAAATGAACCCAGGAGTTTCCTTCCAGTAGGAAATAGGTTTTAACAGTGTGAGATCAAAGACAAAATTTATTTCATTGGAGAAAGATAAAAGGTCCTATTTCTTACTTCAGTTCTGCATATTCCAAGCTGTGCTGGGAGTAGGATTGCCCCTATACACCGTCTTTTTGTCTTACCCTGAGCAAATTCAGCATGGAAGACTGGTCTCTGAAGATTTAACCTTACCCATTAAACCCACATAACTCAACTAGGTTTCATCATTACCCTTATTCAGAAAGTTGAGAGTTGGGGTAGCGTTGTATGCAATGGGTTTAACCACTGTTTGCAATGCCAGCATATTAAATCAGAGTGTTAACTTGAGTTCTGGCTGTTTTGCTTCTTACCCAGCTCACTGATCACATGCATAGGAAAGCATTCTAAGATGACCCAAATAATTGGGCTTCTGCCACCCATGGGAAAGACCTGCATAAAGTCCCCGGCACCTAGTTTAGACTTGCCCCAGCCCACACTATCGCAGCCATTTGGAGATGGACCAGAGAATGAAAAATTCTGTGTGTCTCTTCCTTTTTTCTGCAAGGCCCCACTGCTTTCTGCCTATGTGTATTTGTGTGTATCCCTTCTTCTCTCTCTCTCGTATTTTGCATTTTTAAAAAGCTTATAATCAGTATTTCCTTACTTTATTTCCTTACTAGTTATCACCTCTATTTCCTTACTACTCAAGATGGCAGATATTTCCTCCTCTTTATATTTCCACCTATGTCCAACTTCCAGTGACCATCATCATTCTCTACGATGAAATCAGTGATCTCCTAATTCATCTTGCTCATCTGAATCACCTTGTTTTTGTCTCTCCTCTACTATTGTTCTTAGTTTTCCCATAGGATTGACTCACAAGGTTCACGTGCATAAATGTCTTCATTAGCTTCTCTAAATTTTAGATGTAAAGTTCTGGGCCTAGTGCGATAGCCTAGGGGCTAAAGTCTTTTCCTGGAATGTGCCAGGATTCATATGGGCCCCAGTTCTAATCCCGGCAGTCCTGTTTCCCATCCAGCTTGTGGCCTGGGAAAGCAGTAGAGGCTGGCCCAAAGCCTTGGGAACCAGCATCTGCATTTGAGACCCAGCAGAGGCTCTGGGTTCCTGGCTTCCGATTGGCTCAGCTCTGGCTGTTGCGGTCACTTGGGGAGTGATTCATCAGATGGAATATCTTCCTTTCTGTCTCTCCTCCTCTCTGTATATCTGCCTTTCCAAGAAAAATAAACAAATCTTTAAAGCAAGATGTAATGATCTAATACCCTATAAATCTAGTAGAGAAATATTCCATAGAGTTATCCTCAGGGTAGAATAGGTTAATGTTCTTAAACATTGACTTGTCACATGATATATAGGAAGTCTTTTATATATATCAGTTTTACTAGCAGTTATTTCTAATTTCCTCAAATGAGCCTGTTTAAATTTGCAGGAGGAAAGAGTAACAGAAGGGTAAGGTTTCAGACGTGAGTCTGGCATGCCTGGTTTTGTAAAATGCCTTTGATTATCTCAGTCTTGTCTTCATATATGTCCAATTATTTCCTTCCAGTTGTTCACATTATCATTCTAACTTTTCTTGATTATGTTGATTGGATTCATGATTATGGTGTGTTTTTTTTTCTTCAGATAGAGTGGGTTAGCTAAAGAGCAACCTTAAGTTTTGCCTCAAATCACCTTTTTTTTTTAAAATAAAATCCAGTCTTTTATATCTTCCTCAGTTCATAAACACTCATCCAATTATTGTTTCTAAGGATAATCTGCAGTAACTTTAGATTTTTTTTGCTGGGGTTATATAGGTCGGAATACATAATTTTTAAATTAGTTTCCATTGCTTATTTAAACAGCAGGATTTATTCACATTAGTTTCTAACTTGGATTCCACTATTTCAACTAGAAGACCTTACTGCTGCTTGTGGCCCGAGTATTTCCCTGTTCTCCAGACTGTTAGTTGGCTTTAACAGTCATTTCTTCCTTGTTTTTAAAGATATATTTTTATTTCAAAGGCAGATTTTTCATAGAGAACAAAGAGAGACAGAGAAAGGTCTTCTATTTGTTGATTCACTCCCCAAATGGCTGCGATGACCAGAGTCGGGCTGATCTGAAGCTGGGAGCCAGGGGCTTCATCCAGATCGCTCATGTGTATGAAGGTGTCAACAAAGAACTTGGGTCATCTTCCACTGCTTTCCCAGGTCATAAGCAGGGAGCTGTGTCAGAAACGGAGCAGCTGAGTTATGAAGATGATTAGCCTGCTCTGCTACCATGCTGGTCCCTGGCTCCAAATTTCTAATACCTAAACATGTTATTCCTCTACCATTATATGGGAATCTAATAGAATAATCAGGGAAGGACGCAGAGTAGAACAGAAAATTTAAACACATTGGCTAATAAGACTGCTATGTTAGAGTCTAAGAAATGTAAACAGGGAGGGAGGGGAAGATAAGAGATTTAAGAAATAGGAAGGATGTAAACATAATCCTTAAATTTTAGATAGTGGCTTTGTCTTTGTACTCTTAATGCCACTAATTTCTTTCAAATAAATGATGAAAATGTGAGATGAGACCTGTCTCTGATGAAAGCCTAAGACTAAGACTCTATTCATATTTTCCCCCTTAGAATAGAAACCTTATTATCCTCAATTCCTGAATTTTTATTTATCCTCTCATACTTTATGGTTTGCACAAACAGAAAGTTTCAGTTTTCACCGTGTCAAATTATGAATGTTTCCTCAGTGGCTCAAGGTATGGGTTAGCCACAAGGTGTGAGTACTCAGCAGGTGCCAGCGAACAGTGAAGACTGAGAAGGCTTTTCTGTCTTAGGCTTAGATGCTCATACAGCCTTTGGTATTGTAGTCATTAAAAGCCATTCAGGTGATTTACGTGTCTGTTCTTATATCAACTAAGACGCATTTCCTAACCTCAGATTTATTTTCCTCTGAGACACGTTGTTGCCCCCTTTGCGCCATTATTGGCTACAGGATGCCTGACTCGCAGCTATGATAAAGATATCCCCATCCAAGCATAGGAAGAAGTGAAACTCATCAAGTGGCCTGGTTCTCAGGCCTTTTGGATAGAGGTTTCTATGCCTGAGATACCTCCACCATTCTACAATAGTAATCGTATTATATTATATTATATTGTATTGTATTGTATTATATTATATTATATTATATTATATTATATTATATATACCATAATATAGATTTTATTCATAGTTAAAGGCTATTTCCTATGTTTCTGCTGATTTAATTGCCAAAATGATTTAAAATCCATGTTATTAAATTTTGCAGAACTGTGTTGTTTTAGAGTCACTCACGTCATTCCACACTTTAATACAAATGCCTTCTTCCCTAGAAAATCTTCAAGCACCTCTTACAGGGTCATGCTTAAGTAATGCTATTGAGAGAGGACGGAAATGTTTACCTCAGGCTTTTAGTGTCCAGTCCTTTGAGGTGAAGGATAGAAACATTCACATGAAATTTCTCTCCAGGTTTACATCACTACGTTCACTGAAGAAGCTCATCTTTGAGTCAAAAAGTAGTGACTCTGACTTGGGCATTCTTAATAAACTGTCAGATTGTCTTCCAAATGCTGGGTCTCTCTGCTCCAAACCGTGCTTAATACTCCCACATGATTAACAGTAGAACATATAATTCCAGCAGCACTGTGCCTGGGGGCCTCATTACCTGAGCAGCTCATTTCCTGATCCTGAGAATAACACGTTGGAGAACAGAGCTGTCTTATTAGAGATAATCTCTGGGGTGAACGGCATCTCTGGATGTCCCTTGTTGGGTGAGCCATGATCTTGCCAATATCCTCTGCTCTATTCACGTCTCTGGTGCCTAGAGAAGGGAGCTAGAGGCCTTAGGGAATGGCTCTTCATATGTGAAGAGCTAGAAGAAACAACTTTCAGGTAGAATTTGGATTCTGCTACTAGGCACACAAACAGCTAATCTTCACTTCCTCTGATACTTGAAACTATTATAAAATCTTTGCCTTGAATCATCCATCCTGACCTTCAGTTCTGCTCTATGAATTTTCATACTTTTAAACTGATCTTTCTCTGCTCTGCTCTGCTCTGCTCACCATCTTCTAGATTCATTTTGAAGCCCCCATAGCAGTTACACCAGAGCCTTCTTCTTTGTCAAATTTTCTGCCATACACTATATGTACCTCATTTTAATGGAAAATAGATTTTAATTGTTTCTATATTCTTAGAACGTATCAGTCATGGCATTCAGCTATGATTTAGCTTCTTTTTCTTTGAGATTTATCTATTTTTAATGGAAAGTCACACTTACAGAAAGAAAGCAAGACAGAGAGAAAGATCTTCTATCTACTAGTTCATGTCCCAAGTAGCTACAATGGCCAGAGTTTAGCTGATCCAAAACCAGGAACCAGGAGCTTCTAACAGGTCTCCTATGTGGGTGCAGGGTCCTAAGGCTTTGGGCTGCCTTTTGATTGCTTTCCCAGGCCACAGGCAGAGAGCTGGAAGGGAAATGGGGCAGCCAAGACAAAAACTGGTACCCATATGGCATCCTGGCACATGCAAGACGAGGACTTTAGTGTGCTGGACCCTGTCATTTGCCTTTAAACCCTTAATCATTTTTGAGTTGCTTCATTTTCAAACTGAATAGTGAGTGTATATCGATATGGGCTCTTTCTCAGTCACCTTTTGTTGTTACTTAAAAAAAAAATGCTTGCTAGCATTTGTGACATGCTCTTACTATATGCTAGACATTAAGCCATGCAAAACACATGTATTTACTCAGTGTTAACAATAAACCTATATGATGGCATCATTATATTTGCTTGGAAATAAAAACAAGGACAGAGATGTTTCTTAGACTGCTGTGATGATGAATGGAAGTTTAGAATTTAGCAACAGAAGTCAGGCCTCATGAATATTTTTGTGTTAGTTAAATAGAATTCAATGCGATTTTTTTTTCAATGCTGGCACTACTGGATGAAAGTGACTGTGATGGTAAAGATGAAGAGGGCGTTAAGACTAGTGAGCAGTTCTCAACTTATTTCAGTGCCATATTTGCCACTAACCTTACTAAAGTTTAGACTGACCTCTAGGCCCCTGGATAGCTATCTATAATTGCTATTATAATAATGTGGGGATGAAGATGATGATCATGATATTCCACCACTTCTTTGGGTCCTTCAAACTATTTTATATTGTTTCTCTAAGAACATGAGGAAGTGGATAAACAAGGGTGCTTCAAATAGTACATGAAAAATGTGTGATGACTTTTAATTTTATCATTCTCATGAAGTTTTGGAACTATCAGCACCTGTGTAAAGATTATTAATTTCATTTTGAAAATGAACAAACTGAGGCCAAGTGAGAAAGCTGGAATAAACGATTCCTTCCATGGCTTCTTTCTTTTCTGCTACACCTCATGTCTTCATAAAACTCAAGTATCGAATTAGTTCTAAACTTCCACAAAGGCACTGTAATAATAAATGAAGTGATTTTAGCTTCTAAAGTGGTGAATATGTGAAGGAATATGATCCCCCAAAGAAGAAATATCTTGAAACGTTAGCTTGGCACTCCTGTCTCTGCAGTTTTCCTGGGGAGCTGAAGCCTGGTTAGTAATCTCTGGTTAAAAGAACTAACAAATTGAGCTGAGGGCCTTGTAGCATCCATGTGCTTAAGGCTTCACCCTATCTGAAAGCATAACATGGAAATAAATGAAACAACACAATGACTTTAACCAACTTCAAATTAGCACAATCACTAGTTAGACTGGTTTAATCTTATTCTTGCCAGGAAGCAAAGCAAAATGTTCTCTACAGGGAGATAATAAAATGCACAGCCCTAATTTATCTTTCTGATTTTTTGATCCAGAGTTGGGGTAGACAACTGTGGCCTACCTGCCTTTAAGCTCACCTGTTATTTTGTGAACACACTAAACTCTGCAATAGATTTTACATTTTTAACTGGTGGGAAACAAATCAAAACAAGGAAAACCCTTTTTGACATGAGAGTTATATGAAATTCAAATTTCAGTAATTACTAGGCATTTTGAACCACAACCCACTCATTCACTTATGTATTATCTATGGTTGCTTTTGTGCTACCATGGAAGAATTTAATAGTTGCAACAGAGGCTTATGGTCCATAAATTCTGAATTATTTATTATCTGGCTCTTTTCAGGAAAGAATTGAGAACTCCTGATATAGTGTTCAGGATGCAATAAAAAAATGCACCAGTCATACCAGGAGAGAAGTCACAGAGCTAAAGACCAAGAAGGAAAAAAAGCACTCAGCAGAAACTGGTTCATAAAAGTGAACTACATTAAAGTTATAAGGTATATCTACAAGATAAATACTATCACAACAGATGCATCCCAAGGTGATCCATAATGAGTGACACCTGTTAACTCTTTCCCTCTACTGCGACTGAAATTGTCACTTGCCAATTTCTAACAAAATATGACAAAGATGATTGGTGTCATTCCCACGTTTACCTTGCATGAAGACTCCGTTTCAGCAGACTAGTACAAGAGATCCCTCTTGTCTTTCTTTAAGAGTCAAGTTGCTTTCTGAAACAATGTCAGAGACCCAGAAAAAGCTTTCTCATCTTTTGGCTTTGGCCCAGTGCCAGCTGTTGCGGGCATTTGGGAAGTGAACCAATGAATGGGAAATTTCTCTGTGTCTTTCCCTCTCTCTCTCTTTAACACTGCCTTTCAAATAATGGACAAAAATAACTTTAAAAATAGGATCAAACTGTTGTGTTCTAAGGAGGCTTGTGACAGGACCGGATGGTAAGGAATGTAAACCAACTCTAAAAATTGTGACAAGTCTTAGTACACAATCAGAAAATGAAAACATGAGTCGTGTGTCTACTCGGTCCTGATTCTTTCAACAACAATGGAGGTGGATGCCAAACTCTAGGAGGAATGCAGGGTAGATGACACATAGATTGCAGGTGTGGGAGACACTGAACTGAAGATTTAGCTAAGCCTATTCTACAACAGTTGATCAGTGCTAATGAACAATGATATGTGTTGTGTTAAGCTACTAAAATTGTGGTTATTTTCTTCTGCAAAAATAGGAAACTCATTTATTCATTACAATGTTGACAAATAGATGGAAAATTGTGGAATAATAGCATAGAACTGAAGTGTTTAAGAATAGATGGAGTGAAAGCGTAGTAAAGAGACAATACAATAACTGAAATAAAAAAGAACCATAATATAATAGTTTTTTTTAAAGATTTATTTTATTTCTTTAAAAGACAGAGTAAAAGAGAGGGACTGAGAGAAATATGAGGTTTTCTATCTTTGCTTCACTTCCCAAATTCTTATTGGGTCAGGTTGAAGCCAGGAAGCACGAACTCCATTTGGATTTTTCACATGAGTGGCAAGAACTCAAGCACCTAAGCCATCACTGATCCATTTTTAGGCATATTAACAGGCAACTAGATGGGATGCAAAGCATTAAGACTCAAGACAGAGCCTCTACGTGGCATGCAAATGTTCCAAGCAGTGGCTTAACACACTTAGCCACATTGCTTTGAATAGAATATTTTAATAGCACATTAGAAGTAAGTGGAGGGGTGGGCATCTGGTTTAGTGGTTAAGATGCAGATTAAGTTGCTTGCACTCCATATAGGAGTGCCTATTGGATATTCAGCTTTGATCCAAGGCAATTTGATCTTTGTCATCTCTGTGGAGGATCTTCTGGGTCCTGGGTTCAGCCCAGGTCAGCCATAACTATCACATGTACTTGGGGAGTAGATGGAGGCTCCATCTTTCAGTAGCTGTCTGCATGTTCAGCTCATTCTTTCCCCACCCCCAGATAAAAAATAACTGGAGATTAAAATGAAGGAATTAGAAGACATGTCAATAAGGTAATATTCAAAGACTAATAAGAATACAAAATATATAAAAGTATAGGAAGCACACAGATCTCCACAAAAATCTAAGTATATGCATAATTGGAGTACCACAGATGGAGAAAGGCAGCACATAAAACAAATAAAGAAAGAATATCTAGGAATTTTCCAAACATGAGGAAAGCAGAACACAGATTCCAGAATTACCCTGAGCGAATGATAAGCAGGATAAAAACACACATATCCTCAGCAAAAATTCGTGTAGACGGGTATTGTAAAAATGTTTAAAAGAAAAGGTAAAAACAAGCAGGCTTAAAAGTGGTTAGTGAGGAAATGACATATTATTTTCAAGACTACCAACTGATCTTTTACTAACAACAATGGAACAAAGAAAGCCCTGGAAAGGCATCTATAGCATGCCCAAATGAAGAGAAAATAGCATAGAATTCTATATTCAGAGAAACCAATAATATAAAAAAGCATGTACTCCATGCTTTTTTCTTGAGCTCGTATTTTATATCTCTCTTGGCAACTGACCTAAGCAAATTTGAGATACAACAACAACAACAATAACAACAACAACAAAACAGTCATCAGAAACTTCATCTCTGAAAATAGCCTAGGCCTGAATAAGACCTTGGGCAGAGAAGTTAGACAGTTTGGGTTCATTTATTTTCCCTTTCATTTTATATCCTTGCACTATTTATTG